CTGCATTGCAGGTAAACAGTAAAGTGGAAAATCACTTGCACACAAGTTCCTTGCAAGAAAMCTGCAATTTGGAACAGTGTCCAAGGACACTGTTCACCTTCCTCTGGGAGGRAAGAGCCCAGCCTCCATTTAAATATTAGAGCAAATATTTAACAGAATCTTTCCACCTTGCAGARAGCTCCTTGCCAGAGGAAAATCTGCATGGAATTAGTTACTACAGGGCTTGCCATGGACTTCTCCACACAGAAAACAGTGCAGCTCTTCCAACGCAAGGATGCAAGTTTAATTTCAAGGATACCTTTCCTACTTCTATGTTAGATGTTTACATAAAATCCTAAGGGGGTGCCAGTTAGGGGAGTCCAACTAATGCCTTTTTCCAGCTGAGCTTTCCAGTCCCATAATCACTTCCACCTGATCTGTTTTCTCAACACCTTTATGTCACCCACCTGCTAAGTCTAAACAGGTTATCCACTTGTCATCCATCTGTTAAGCCTAAAAAAAAAACATATATATTTTTTTCCCTGTCAAGACTTCTGGCAACATCCCATCTATAAAACCCAAGTGTTGCATATCCGTGGCCTGAACATTAAGCCTGTATAATTCTGTGTTGAGATAAAATTGCAGCACCAACAGACAAAGCTCTTATTTTCATGGAAGAGCTATTGACGCTGACGGCTATGCGGATGAGAAGCAACAGTCACAACAACTGCTGCACATTTGAGCCTCGTGGAGCTCGTACATAAAAACTGTGGCCAACAACAGCACCTGAAACGCACAGACTGACAAAACCCATCAGCTGGAGACAGGAGCAGAGGGATGMTCTACTCCCTTAAATGGTTGTGGCTTTCCTAAAACCCAGGATTTTGGTTCCACTCAGCACTGCTGAGCAAATCAACTGCACATGGGCACCAAAGCAGAGCCCTCTTGCAAAGCAAGACTCCAAGAAGCACAGTTAGGGCTCTGGAAACCTTTAGGCATCACAGGTTCTTATTTCCCTGTTTTTCCATGGTTCCACGTATCAAGCTCCCCACAGCAACTCCTCACTTTCACGGTTTATTTTAATATTACGTAAAGACTGCCTAAATTTCAGTCTAAAATTGATTCTTTCTCTATTAGAAATGTTCATATGCTAAGTAAAGTCTTTGGAGGAAATAAACCATTTTTCAAGCTCACAAGAAAATACAAAATATATTTTTTTAAAAAAGCTATTTATTTTCTGGCTCAGTACTTATAAATGTGCCCGTTAGCACAGGAATGAGCAGCCCACATGCAGTGAAGACACTGTAAATATGCCCGAGACAAAATAATAAACTGTTATCTTCCATTTATAGGCAAAGGTCAGAGATGGACAGAAAAAGCGAATTTGTCCAAGAAAACTAAGAAGTTTAGGGCAAATGAAGGATTTAAAAATCTAGTCTTCCAAATAGTGCTTTAAATAGCAGCTCATCCTTCCTCTCTGAGGTAGCTGGAACGCGGCTGCCTGCAGCTCCCGCGCTCTTATCGACAATTTCAGAATTACAACAAATTGTGAACTTCCAACCAACTCTCTTCTATTTTGATCAATGTGCACTGACAGATAAAGTCAAAAGCAGTGAGTGATCTGCAGTCAGGTAAAACTTCATGTAATTACCAGTAATGTGAGCAAGCGGGGAGGACAGATTCAAGGCTGCAGACGTCCAGGTCACAAGAACAAACCCAGTTCTTGCACAGTCCTTGTTTTAACCTCTCAGGTTCAAGCACTGCTCACAATTATATCTGGGGATCACTTTACCTCTTACATAAAGTATTCCTGTCTTGAATGACAACAACATTAATGTAATTAATAGAGTGTTTAGCCTCTTATAGTCTTATTTTGGTGGATAATGCCTCTTAAAAACACTGTAAAAGCTTTGATGTACGAGAGCCTTTTACTCACAAAAATTTTTAAGCAAGAAGTTTGATGATTCAAAGCAATTTAAATCACACATGTTCTTTCTATATTTACATGAGTATTCACTATAAATCTTCCCTTGGTTATTATTATGTAAAATGCATGTATTATAAACTGTGGAGAATTGCATTTGCAAGCCTGCTTCTAAATTCATTTACCCTAAAGAAATTACTTCATCCATCTGTAAGTCCAGCAAATTAAGTTCCCGTAAGGCACTTYGCTCTCTGGGAAGAGTAGGTTGTTTTGCTTCAGGTGAGAAGCTTGACAAAACCTAAAAGAGTCCTGCAATAATACAGCATGCTCTGGGCACTATCTTACTACTGTTCTTCTACCACGCTCACTATGCAACATTTAATGTTCATTAGTAATATTATTTATTCTGGAGTGAGGCATAGGGATGTTACCACAAGAACTCAATTTCATATATGCCAGAAGAACTATTAGATTTGCAAAAAAACAAACGCATTGCCATAGAAAATAGAWCAAGAATGTTTATGGCACAGAAGTACCTTTGATGATTATTCATATATTAATTTGAATAGACTTCATGTACCAAAACTAACACCAGAGCGTCAAAGAACAGGGACTTACGTCCACTCTGGAGATCTTCTAAAACAGATCATTTSTTCTGAAACACTCAGGTGTGGAACAGCAGGGAACTCTGCTCCTCTATTGCAGCAAGTGCAGATTATACATTAAGAGGTGAGATTCAGAATACAGGGTGCAAGGCAGCTGCGGGATTGCACAGAATTGCTTTCAAAGCAGTGGTAGCATCCACACGCTCAGTAAGTTTTTACACATGTACCACTCAGATTCCATTTAATAAAATCTTCTTTCATATTTCAGCTCACACCTACACTTCCCTTGCAAACACAGGATGTTGGTGATGATATCGTTACCACGTTTCTGAACAGCTGAATACGTGAGGGGATGAGGAAGCTGCGCTGTACCCCAGGCTGCACACTCAGGCTGTGAAGCAGCCCGACCACGTCGGACCCTGCCTGGGTCGCTCAGGCCGTTACAAACAGAGTGTTTCTCCTGCAAATACYGGGGCCTCTTGCCAATGTTCAGAGGATCTGTCTGTCCATTATCTCTGCACAGTTGGTTTCATTAGCATATTCATTATTCATACATTAATGCTTTATTAATGCTTTCCAGTGTTCACATACTTTGCGGACACTTCAGAACACGGAGTCTTTGCCAACTATTTGGTTGGATGAGGCCATGAGGTAGYAGCTTCTGTCGCTACACGTGCCTGTTGCCCAAATCCTACTGCCTAACTAACTAAATAGAAAACAGGGATGACGTGGACCCACGGCTGGCCTGCACATGGATACCAGATATCCATACGATATCCATACAGGAATGCCCTGCTTGGCAGGCGAACAGAGCCACGCCGCAGAATTTCAAGGGAACAAAAAGCTATTTGCTTAAAAGCTTGTCAAATGTGTGAACCAAAGGGCTGTGAGGACAAACAAATCAGAGACACACTCAAAATAAACACTGTGTTCATGGAAATGGTCTCTATTTTTAACCTATTTTACCTTGTACAGACTGGTATATGATGCAGGAGAGCAGCTATTCCTTCAGGAAAGGAAAAAACCAACACATACACACACAAAACATTGCTTCTGAGTCATGAATTGGGAATGGAAAAATATAAATTGATAAGCAAAGAACCTTGCATCTTGGCAGTAAGGATTTTGCAGGAGGAAATCAGAATTACTAAAAAACAAAACAAGACAAACAAACAAAAAAACCCCACTACAACAAGCCGACCTTGATCATATGAGAGAAATAAAAGAAAGCAGCAAAACTTTCCTCAGAGCAAGAAGAGAACTGGAAGAGGAAGATGTTTTTGTGCAATGCAGAGTACAAGATCMGAAACAATCCTACAGCAACAGGTCTAGGACGAGGTGACTCTACTGTGCCCCAAAACTAGGCTCAGATTCTGGGAAGGAGCTCAGAGCCCTGCTTACCAGCCAGGAGATTTGAACTGAATCCTGCTCGCCGCCGATGCCAAACTTTGGGAAGAGGCTGGGACCGACCTTCTAACCTAGCTGTGGAGCCACCTAACCGGTTTCTAGGGGAAGGCAGGACACAGGAACCTTGTTACCAAAATCATTTGGGTTGTCTCCTCATCAACACATGAGCAGAAGACTCAAAGTAGAGAGTGAAGTCAAGGCCACTTCAGAAGAGCCACTGGAGTGAATAAGGAGCAGGCATTTAATTTGCAAACCAAGSAGAGCGACCCGATTCTCATATTTGCAATGCAAATGAGTGGTGGGTAAAATATGGATGCTTTTATTACATGTTTCTGAAAGCACAGTATTTCATTATGAGTTCAACAAAAAGTTTAATTTGACCTAAAATTAAATTTTCCAGGCTATCATTTTAAAAAGGAAAATTGATTACTTTGGAAGTTTAATCTGAAAGACTCTTTTCCACTCAATCCAAGCTTAAAAAGCAAATTCAATTACGGTGGCAAATACTCTTTAGTATATATTTTGTTTAGCTATGTGGCTGTATTTTTGGTCAATCAGCTGCAAGAAAGAACTTACATGTCCACTCTTTTTGAAAAGTGTCTTATGGCTGTAAGGTTATAACCTAGTCCAGATTTCAGTATTTYATTTCAGCATTTTATATCTTTATAAGAAATGCTTGATTCTGTTTTAAAAAACTACAGCATAAGACTGACTTCATTAAGCTTTTTTTTWAAAAAAAAATTARTTTGTAGAAYTTCTGATTAAGTGCAATATTCCTGCTTCCAGAGACTAAACAGGGTCTTCCACCATCCCGGGCTCATTACTTCCATGATAGAGTGATATGATAGTTAAATGTAAAACACAGCACAATCCTCCTTCCCCATAACCAATTCTGGCTTCCTTCCAAAACCTCTAAAATTTTTGTTCCACAAAAGTCTGCTCTTGGACACTCTTCCTTTATCCCAGGAAAGTCGGATAACAGACATTTCCACAAGCAGCAAGAAGAAACCGTGCAGCTGGTGTGGAAATCTCACACTTAACAAGCATGTCACTAATAAAACAAGAGGTAACAAGCCACTATTACCTGATACACCTTCATGATACTGACAGTTCCTTCTCCATTCGGGCCCGAGGATCCTTGGTGCTGTAGGAGATTTCTCACTGTCTCCTCCATTCTAGAGAGGGAAAACATCGTAAAAATCAACCATCGGGAAATTTTMTTGGAAAACTTGCATTTAGTGGTTTGGTTCTTCACAAGAACCTTATGCAACATTTTACTGGCTACCACGAAATTAATATTTAATGTAAATTCTGGCCTTGTAATATTCTCATACTTCATGTTATGAATAACACATTAAGGGCACTCTTTTATCTTCTGAATATGCACAGTAATTAGGTGTAATTGTTAAAATCCCACCACAGCTCCGTTACAAAAATTAAAAAGAAGTGCCAGCAAAAACCAGCACCTTGTCAACACTGTAACCAAACAGCATGAGAAAATTACTGTCATTTAGGAACAAAATTAATCCGATTTCCCCCAAAGCTGCTCTATTTATAGTCAATTGTCAACGTGTGTGATTTAGGCGGGCTGTCACGTACACGGTGTGTGTTGCTCCCTGTTGGGGTGCTCCAGGGTGTGCCGGGCAGTCGCTCACGCCGGGCACATTCCCCCTCACTTTGCCCTTTCCAGGGGCTGCCAAAATGAAGCCAAGACCAGAGCCCGGTACCAGCAGCCCAGGAAAATCACCAGCTTCACCAGTGAAGGAAGCCTGGTACTCTCAAGTACCAAGGCCAGGAGCAGGAAGCACAGAAGCAACGTCGGCCAAGGCAGCAGATGGCCTTGCTCCAGCTCCAGCACAGGTCCTGGGCACCCCCCGGCTTCACCCGCTTTGCAGCTGCTTCTTGGCAGCACTTCTGCAGGTCCAACTTGAGGAACGGCATCCCATCAATGTGCCCCACCACTGAAGTGCCTCCTCTTCAGTTCCCATTCTTTGATTTCGGGCTGTCTCAGCTACCTCACACCGAACAGCGCAGCTGGAGGGATGGAGAAGGGCAAGATGACAGGACRCGGGTGTGGGACGGAGGCCTCACGCCTGTGCTGCCCCACACGGCCTGTGTGAAGCTGCAGCCGGGCCCGGGAGGCAGTGTCCACAGGAGAGCACGAGGTCCAGCCTCCCCGTCCGCTCTGTTGTGCTTGGGGAAACACCGCCTTTGGGTGCTGCTCTTTGCAAATGGAGGTCAGCACAAGAATTATTCCTGTCATGCCAAAGCTTTTTATTTCCGAGGCAACAAGCTAGCAAAACAGCAAATATGAGCTAGTTAATATTAGCTACTTAAAGACCAACCACACTAGGTTTTATTCAAGTTACAAATGTGTTGTGGTCTTGCCGTTCTTTCAGTCTTATCAGAATGCATGGCAGTGGCTCACCGAGAAAAAATACCATGTTTTACCAGGCCTTCTCCTTTCAAGTCAGCCAGCTACCCTTCTTTTCAAGAAGCTGACATTATGAAGCATTCATTTTATTCAGATGCGCAGTGACATTTTACTTATTCATATTATTTTTTTTTGTCATTGATGTGCAGACTTCTACATTGCCAGAACGCTCACAGAATAGTTGGACCATCTGTTGACCAAATGTGAATAAAAATAAGCCAGCACTAATCTCTAGTGCAGACAGTGGTGCACAGTTTCTCAGTTGCAGATTGAAACCATTTCTGCTCATGGCTGACCTTAATCAGATCCTTTTTACACGAAAGAACAAATCATTTTGGTTCATGACATAAATTCCTCTACAGTCCTCACTGAAGAATTTCCTGTCACAACATGTTCATCATTTAATTTTTTAAAGTTGATAATGTAGTAGGGTTTTTTATTTTAAATCACTGTGCTTTATATACGCATACACAATTCTAATTCTGGTCTTCCATAAAGTTCTTCCACCGGAATAATCAAGTAAAAATTAGAGAAAGGACAGATTTAACTTCGGAAATCAGTGAGAGTTTTCCAGTTTAGGCCTAACRAACATATAGTCTAGCTGTATATCAAAATGATCAGTCAAAATAGTTGTAACTACGAAGCATTCTTAAATTCAATAGGTCTTTTCATCCTGAGTCAAGGGCTGACTAGATTGTCCATTCCCAACAGGATTCCTATCTTATCTAACAACATTATAAGGATGACCAGCACACCGTCTCATGCAGCAGCCAGAAACACCTCCTTGTAATACTCACATTTCTGTTAACAGTGGTATTTGCACCAAGCCAAAGAGCTGTGTTAAACACTGTAGAGGCTTTTGGTTTTTCTCTTGCAGTTATTATAAAAATTGGTAAATAAGGGGCTGATGCCAGCTAAACCACTGGCATAACACTCTCCATACATCACTGAAGSATCTTGGAAACTTTAGGCATCTATGGGATAGCCAAACGCGGAAGGAGAAAACAAGTTTCTGTCAGACAATAGGTGAATATGACTACTCAGATTTATTGCAAAGCTTTGCTGGCCAGTGCTGTTGCAGTTTATAAGCTATTTCTTTTTTTGCTAGCATCCCAATTTTCTATTTTTTGGGAACGACTGCTTAACACATRGCATATAATAATAATCGAGCCTTGTTCCTCACAAGTTAGACTCTTTGAAGCCTGAATTAATGGCAGCTTATTAAAAGGCTATTGTTATGTGATCAATAATAYATAGTGAGTGTATAAGGTAGTAAGATTTAGTGCAAGTTCTTCTAAAAAAAAAACAGAAGAACAACTGAGCTCCTATAAATGGAACTTGAACTAGCATGTTCTGCTTCCTGGACTAGGCTTCCAGAGGACATGCAGATTTTGGAAGTGCAGCAGAAAAATGAAAAGCTCTGGGAAAGGCTGTTCCTACACATCAGCTATATATTTCTCACTCCCAGAAACCACTAAAGGTTATCTGCTCTTGGTTATGATTCTAATACCCAGATGGACTCAGGCCAACATCAAGCACTTGCTGATTGCATCCATAATAGCTCTGCCCCACGCGTGTAGTCTGTCTGCTTTCCAGCCTGGGCTGAGAAGCTCATCTTGCCAAGGATTCGACGCATCTTATGTAACTATCAAGATGTTACATTCTGCAAAAAAACAGTTTCCAGTGTCTCATCATTCCCAAACTTACATTTTCCAATTGCTATTTAGGAACATTTTCTCTTTTGTTTAGTGTTCTGTTTACTGCCTATGAATCTCTTGTTACCCCTAAAATTTTGTTACATCTAATATCTGGATAGAAAATAGAAGTTTTCTGAAAACTGCAGTTGCTTTCAATTAAAAACAAAGTGCTCTTCAAGGAAAGAAGACTAAACCCATGTTTCTGAGAAGCTTCTTRTGTTTCTTGACAAACTGTCAATTTAGAGTAGGAAGACAGTCCACCAGCCCTAACCTAAGGACAGATTTCTCAAAGCACTAGATGGATTCTGGTCTCATTTCTTCTTCCATTTGAGGAGTGTAAGAGTTTAAGGAACGTAAAATATTAATGCTTCTGTGGAAGGCAAGGTCGAGATTTCATCTGGAATAGGATCTGCCACTGTGATTGCTCAGGCTCCTTCACCCAGGGGCCGGTGGAGAGACAGCTCTGAGAAGAACCAAGAGGCTGCGCCATGAGAAAAGACTAGGAACTTGTCTCCCCAAACCCAGGAGGACAGAGAGGCCCGGGACACAGCTACGACCTCTACAAATGAATCAGGCAAGAAAAGAATGAGAGGAAAGAATATTAAATATGTTCAAGGGTAGTTGTGGATAAAGAATAAAATGTGAGCATAGTGGCTACAAATAAATCCAGACTGGAATTAGGATGTTTTTAACCATTGAAAAAGTGAGACTGAACAGTCTATAYGCAGAGTAATGAGATAAGAAACCTAAACACTTAAGAAGTTGAGCACTTTATGAAATCAGTTGCTTAGCAGGGTTAACAGCAGAGCACTGGGGCGGATGATCTGGAGGTGAACCCAGCTATTCCTCCTGAAACAAGACTGGTCATTCCTAGGTTTTAAAGAAATAGTTTGTTCAACGCTATTAAAAGAGTATCAGGGTCTTCCCGAAAGAAGGGGGCTGGTATCCTGAGCGGAAAKGATTAAAGGGTGTTGTGTCCCTTGCCTGGGCACCTGGGCCTGCGCCTGAAAGCCTCCAGGGCAGCACAGAAACCTCCATGATGTGTTTTGCACCAACTCAGAAAAATGGTCTAAACACCTGCATACTTTGTGCCTCTCCCAGTCTTGTCATTTCAAATGGACCAAAGCCTTTGGCTACTCTGCTGGAGCCCTCCCTAAGGGCCAACTTTAGGACCATTCATTAATTTGAGGGCATCAATGTGCCCTTAAATAAAAGGATGTTAAATTGTTTTCTCAGCCCTTCAGGTCTATAAGAGCCTTTCCCATGTATTTCCACCCTCCCCAAAAAAGGGCTTCCAATTCCGTTATGATCCCATTTATTGCTCTTGTCTCTTTCACAGGACTCTCAGGCTGCTTCAGTAATTTCACACGTTGAGGGGCTTTTTCTCCACCAACCTCTCCACTGTGTACGACAGGTCTTTATGTCCTGTGTTGCTGCAGAGGAACCCTCTTCTTTTCTCCAGCTCTCTGTAGCACTTCCCTTATAGGGGTCTGATCTCCCCAGGCCCCACACTTGAGCTAGAGCAGCCCTTCTGTGGAAAGAAGATAATTCTAGCCCCGAGACACCATATTCTCAGCAGCCTCATTGTCCTCGGTGCTCCCCACGCAGCCCGTAACCCAGCGCTCCCGCAGGGACGGGCAGCGTGCGGCAGCCGCGGCTCCGCAAGGCGCTTGGCAGCCCCAGCCCTGTCTCCCTGGCCTCCTTCCTGCAGGATTGCCCCCGGGCTGGCAGCTCCCTTGGGCCGGGTGCCTTCCCCTTCCTCCTGCGCCAGCCTCAAGCTGAGGCAGCTCCACTCCGGGGTGATTTCAAAGGCACCTCACAAGAATTCCTGCGACTTAGCACGAACGTCACTGTCTGCCGGGGGACGTGCAGCCCTTCCAGGCTCTTCTCCGCAGCCCCAGGGCAGGTGGGGAGCTCGGGGACAGCCAGCCCTGCCGTCATCCCCAGGGCTCCGGTGGCAGACGCCTGTGCCCCTGCCCCAGCCTCTCATCCCTCCCTCCAATTAACACTCCAGTGCTCCAAAGAGCTGCTGTCTGGTGCAGCG